CTGCCATTCCCTGTGCCAGCTTTAAGCAAGCAAAGGACAGCTGTGACAAGATAAGCTCTGGTTGCCAGGGGGCAGAGTGTGAACACAGCAGGGAGCTCCAGGACAAGGGAGTCCATAGGGACRGGGCAGCCTGGCAGGCAGCTTGCCTTTGACAATCCCTGGCTTTTCAAAGTGCATCTCCAGTCTTGAACCTTTTTTACTTTTTGCTGGAGTCCAGCTTCTTTCCATTGCTAGAAGGATTYCAAAGACTGTCCCTGCTTCTCACAGAGTCTTCCCTCTCCCCTTCTTTCAAAGTACCCCGGGCCTCAATTTATTCAATATAGACTTGGACACAGGGAAGTGCTTATCTTTTAGCACTGCAAGCTGCTTCCCCCAAGGCTTGAGTTAAATCTGCTTTAATAAAAACACAGAGCTTTAGTCAATTGGGACATAAATGATTTCTCYTCTGCACTATTGGAATGCTGCCTTCTAAGTATGTTCAATAGCATATTAGAATCAAGTCTCTAATTGGCCATATAGTACCAAAGACCTGACTATCTAATGTGAGAATTCAACACCATGAAAACTCTGAGAATATAAAAAAGAAGCAAGGGAAGACCACAGGTCATTTTCAGCCATTCCCTACCCATTTAAACCCCATAATTACAATATTATATTTAATATCAGGGGACAGTGTAAATGTGAGATCTTCAGAAGACCAGAATAATCATCCTAAAGACAAAATAAATTAATCATTGACCTCAGTTGTTATAATGAGGATTTCACAAAAAAAACCCCAAACACATTGAAGTTCAATTTACTCAAGTGTTCCATGTTCTTTATCTCCTATAAGGCTCTGAAGCAGAGTTTCTTTAATAAAAATGACTGATGTACACCAGTTGCTCCAAATTACACATTTATATGTATTCACTAGAGCCCATGTAACCCATCAAGTGCAATATCACCAGCTTCTGATGCTGCTTTTCAGTGAGAGAGGAGATCAAACTTAGAGTTCTTTATTTACTCAGAAATGAAACCGAGTATATCCCCCAAATACAGATATGCAAATCTGTCAATGCATTTCTGGTAAAAACATAACCACCCAACTGCTCTCTTTATGCTCTGTCATATTCATRTCACAGTAGCACTTTCAGTGTCAGCAAGGACTGCTTGGCTATTCAGGGATCAGAGTGGAGTAAACCTAAATAAAATTGCCAGTCTGGACAAAGACTGAGCCAAAATCACTTTGAGAAGAGTATCCACTGTGTTTCATAACATACAATAAGAGAAAATGAGGAGAAATGTGAAAAAAGACAGGTTACACTTGGTAACTTCCCCCAGRTAGATGGGGCACAGGGAATACAAAAGCCCTGATGTTCTCTGGGTGGTGGCAAGTGACGTTTTTTGGACTGGGTGCTGGCACCATATCCCCAGGGTCCTCTGGCCAGACAGACTGCTGCCCTGTCATAGCAGGGAAGGGTGGGAGTGATCACAGGGGTTGTGGGCCAAAGGTGTTTCTGCCCAGCCTCCTGCTCCCTCTCTTTAGGAAAAGGAGAAAGGGGGATGAGCCCTGAATCCATTCATCTCCTCAATCTTTTAATTTTATACCACACACACACACACTTCCTTATTGTCAACTTTTTCTGCCAGTACAACTGGAGATAAAATTACAATGACACATAATCACAATGAAAAAGCTGGCTAGAAGTCATTCCAGTTTTGTAAAACAAGTCCCATTTATTTTKTTTATTAATTAATAAATAATTACTTATATGCAAATACAGTTGCACTGATGGWACGTGCTTAGGAAGGCACTGAACACCCAAGGAGGAGTTGACAAAAATCCATGCACATAGACCATTTCAATTAAACTGAACTCTCTAAAASAAACCCAGCATATTCCACGAGGAAATTCAAGCCCTGGGTTGGGACAGTGCCATGGCWGTGGAATGGCAGTCCAGGTCTGCTACGTGACAGCTGGACTGTCAGCATTGCAGTCACCCCACAAGGAGAAGGGGATTCAGAGGGAGGCACTTATGGCCCTAGAATCAAAGACTAGGTGAGTCAGGTTTGGCCTCAGTCACATCTGCCAAGGAAGAATCCCCAGTGCAAAGGAGCCTCAGGGCACCAAGAAATGCAACACTCACGAAGGCCATGTGCAGGAGAAGGAAACAGTGAAAACAGCAACCCCCATCCCCTTTAACCTTCTGTGCTCCTGTGCACACCCAGAACCTGCTGTGTTCTTCAGTCCCAACCACTGTGATGCCGAGGCAGGATTTAGCTTGGGTTGCCCCAACACCTCTTTAACCTACAACTTAATGCCACTGTCACAAAACAGTGCTTTCCCACAACTSCTTCCATGACTATTGCACATTTCCCAAAGCACCCCTCCCGCGGAGWAAAGGGTCAATTCACAGCTTTCATTTTGCCTCTTCCAGCCTCATTTCCCACAGCAGCAAAGGAAAACGTTCCCCCAACAAACACGAACAGAATAGGGCAAGGAAAGAAAAATATTTGTTTTTTGAAAAGGTGTCATTTGTCTTCCTTTTAACACACAAACGTTTTGTATTCACCATCACAGGCATTTCTGCTGTCTAACTGATATGCAAATGGCAGTTTAATAGATATATTACATATATAATATTCATATATTTATAGGGCCTAGCATGAAGTTGGCCAAAGTGTGGTCAAGGCCAGCTTTGCTGATGGCTTCCTACTCAGTACCAGGCTGGGAGCTGGAGCAACACTTTTATATTTTTATCTATCATTYACGCCCTGTGGCAAAGTGCTCTAGGGAAAGCTTTGTATACAAGAACCACTTTCTTATTTATTCTTAAAACACCCCAATTCTGTTTGTTTAATTTCATAGAATCATTAAGGTTGGAAAAGATCTCTAAAGCCATTGAGATCAACAGTTAACTCAGCACCAAGTGTTCACCACCCCTTTTGAACATTTCCAAGGAYGGTGATTCCACTACTTGCCTGGGCAGCTTATTCCAATGACAGASCACCCTTCCAGTGAAGAAATTTTTCCTAATATCTAATCTRAACCTCCATGGAGCAATTTCAGGTAATTTCCTCGGGTCCTGTCACTTATTACCTTGGGGAAGACCTTCACCTTGCTACAACAATTTAACTACAAATTCTGCAGGCCAAAACCTGCTCTGGGACCTGTTAAGAGACATAGCCCACTGTGAATGCAGCTCCCTGAAGCTGGCAGAAAGGGCTGACTGAAATTAAGAATTCCTACCTGAAATGTATTTTGTATCCAAGCTAGGACTGGCTCTTCCTGTTTTCCTCACCTGAAAACAATGGAGCATCCCATTCACCACAAGAGTTTAAGAAGACCCTGGATAAAAGGGTGCAGAAATGGGCATATCCACAAAACAATGGCAGTTAAAGAAGTAAAAGGGACTTTTTAAAATACACTCATACATTTTTGTCATCAAATTACCATTTATTTTTTAACCTGTGCACAGATACTTTGTTTCCATAGTCTTCCCTTGGAAAGGAAGCTTTTATCATGTCCTCTGAGAGCCTACTTCTTGACTTGTGGCCATTAAGGGCATTTAAATCTGTAATATCATACAAAAAAAAAGGCTTATGCACTCTGATAGGCTTTAAGATTTCATGGGTTTTGTCTAAATGCACCATAGAAAACTCTAATGGATCTCTTTATCTATATTTTAACATATGGACGAGATTCTGCTCTATACTGGATAGGTGTTGTGCTGTATACAGCAACAGCAACAGAGAAGTGCAACATGAATAGCACCATCAGTTACAAAATATTTGTGACTAAAACCAGTATTTATAGTAAGAGCCACTTCCCTTAATTTAACAAATTGAAAATTGATTCTTGTTCCTGAAACAGTCTTGATTTTCAGAGTTTTTCAAATTTATTTGTTTCAAAATRAGCCCTTTCTCATGGAAAGCATTTTGAGTTCCAAGTCAAGGTTCGTTTAAAAATGTTAATATTTTCTGAACAGGATGACAGGATAATTCAGGCTGCAAAAGATCTCAGGAGGCCTCTGGGTGAACCTCCTGCTGAAGGAGGGTCAGCTCTGAGGCCAGCTCARGCTGTGCAGGGCTTTATCCAGGCAGGTGTTAAAAACTTTCAAGGGTGAAAACTGAGCAAGAAATGTTCATTCAAATACGGGYATTTGTCTGAATATGATTAAAACCCAAACCATACCTTTACAAGCTTCTCCTCTTCCACCCCACACCTSTGCTGCAACCAAACATACCAAATCACAAAATGCATGACAGGTGAACCACTGAAGGCTAAATCCAAACCCCTCTGTAACAAATGAAGTGATGCCCTTAGTGTTTGTCTAAGAGAAATGTTTCAGTAAGTGGCACTGATGAAGGGAAGTGTCTGGTGGGACAGGACAGGTTGTGAACAAACAACACTTGTCAGGGATGGAGGAAGACTGAGAGCTGAATTCAGGTTAAGGAAGGAGAAAAACCACCAAGTGTTGGTCTGGACCTAAGAGTGGCTTCATTCCTGGGAAATTTACTGGAGAAAAACTCTGTCATAAATATTAACACTGGGAGAGTGAAGCAGTGCCTGTGTCCTGTCTCCACATTATATTTATTAACCAAAGGCCTGATTCATCCCTTTCTTTTCAGGAAGCCAAGAGATGCTTCACTGAACAAAATCCTGTAAAAATTGCCTAAGATGTGAATCGGGCTAAAAGTCACTGGTRTAATTCTTCCTTAGAGCTTCCGCATTTCAGCTGTAATTGGGGAAAATAGAAGGAACATGAGACAGAAAAAAAACTAAGCCAATATTCCAAATATAGATATTTATATGCAGACACATTACATTCAAATTTTCCATATTTTCACCTAGGTTCCCTCCTTATCTATGATGATAAAAAAAAGAGCTTATGCAACGATGAGTGATATTTTCATACAGATCTTTCAAAGAAAAGTGATAATTCAAAGAAGAACTTTTCTAGAAATCAATACATTGAATGCTGTGAATATTTTGTTTGTTTGTTTGTTTGTTTGTTTGTTTGCATTAAATCACAGAATTGACAAGATTAAAATTAGGTACATTTTTCAGGTTTTAAAAGTTAGTTCTGTGTTTCAGTGGGAGCCTGAAAAAACCCAAACCACACTTCAATTACAATAGCAAAGAACTTCTTGTCCTAACAAACAATTAAATACTGKTGTGGGATTTCATTCAACCTTGCTCCTCACCAAAATATTTCAGGCCAAGTATCAAGATAACCTGAAGTTTTAAGTTTCAAATAAACCCTGGCTCTGGGGGAACCTATTTGGATGTTATCAAGAAATATAAAGAATTCAGCAGCATGTTAGTGGGCACTGCAAAAGTATACGAGAAGTCTAGAGCAGCTGCAACTGTATTCTGGTTGTTTAAAAGGGTTTTTTTCACGTGGTTGTTGTATTGTGCATCCAGTATACAATCTTCTTGTCAATGCCATTGGGGCAATCAACGTGTGCAAAAAAATGAATCTTGCATATATGGCTTATTAGTAGCCACACACTTTCTACCTGTCAATATAGTTCAAAGGCAGTGAGTGAGGAAAGTTCAGTAGATGCAGCACCAGTCCTAGGTCTCACAGGATGGATAGGATGGTCTCATAGGTTTTATTTTGTGTCATGTATCATGCAACACATCTGGGCAATAGGACACTTGCTTTGGCTATCCCAGCCTCCTCAATGGCAAAGCAGCAGCAGCAGCAAGCAGTGGCTTCGTATTGTCACATGTATTTGTCTAGTGGCATTGCCCCTTCATCTCACTGATAATTTGGTGCTTACTCGATTTCACTTTTCTTCAGAGTGGTCATCACCTTGAATCTTTCAACATGAACAGCTTCCATTTTCTTTCCCACCCACACCACAATGAGATTCAGACAAAGTGTTGTACAAACATCAAATCTGCATGTGCTTTTGTGTGCATGTGYCTGTCCAAACAGCTCTTAAAAACACTAGCTGGCATCTTTTGTTACTTCGTTTTTCAAGATACTCCTTCAGCAGCAAAATCATCTAAATCAGTGAGGGTGACAAGGCCACTATTTTGGGTTGGGCTCAAATCCTTTATTAAGTGAACTTGAGTTTCTCCAGCATCTTGATGGTAGGAGTAGAAGGCTGGTTCAGTATAGGACTGAGAATCCACAGAATCAGTGTATCTGTAGTCCTGCTGGCTATCTTCAGGTAGTTCAGCTGGTTCTGGTCCAGTGGGCACTGACCAGCCAGGTTCAGAGAGTTGRGAAGATGATTTCAGCACTGCTATGGATGAGGCTGGTAAAGGCAACACTCGAGGGTAGGAGGCATAGGGAGAATTCTTCATTTCTGAAGAGGTGGACTGGTGTAAGTTCTGTTCCAAGGAGGGGACTGAGACTTGAACATATTTGCCAGTTTCTGGGTCATAAAATGTCTTCAAATTAACTTCAGCTGGTAAATCAACTACGTAGTATTGACCCGAGTCAGGATCTTGGAGGAGCTTCCGCTGGGTTGAGGAAGGTGAAGGGCTTACTCTCRGTTTTCCAGTACTGGTTTCTGTGGGAGCAAAAGTTGAATGAAGGGGAGAGTATCCCAAGGGTGAAGCAGATACTGTTGTCTCTCCAGAATGAGTAGGCTTTCTCCCTACAGCATCTGTATACTCAGTCTGATGTTTTTTCGGCTGCTCTTGCATTTTTTTCCTCCTGCTTGCCAGCTTYTTAGCCCGACGCAGAGCCTTTTCAGTTTTTGGTGGCACAGTGGGTGGCTTGCTCGCTGGTCTCCCACCAAGCCCCCTGGGCTCCAGTCTCCCACCTTCTGCTGCAACATCAGAAAGTAGATTCCTCTGTGCTGAATCAATTATCTCTTCTTCAGGCATATAAGCTTGGCTCTCCAGTGCCATGTTCAGCAAGGCAGGGTTTGTAACATCCTCTGATTCTCTGAAGCTGGAAATAGTTGGTTTATCTGACAATGAACTGGCAGCAAGAGAGCGCATCGTACTTCCTGACCTGGGGCTGGGAACAGCAGAACATGAAAGACTGTCTAACACAAGCGGTGCACCTTCTGTGTGTAGGATGTCCTCTAAAGTGTCATTGGATACGGAAGAACACGTGTGGTCCTCTAATATGGAGCCAGTCACAGGGGAAATTGTCTCCCTGGTGATGATTTTTTTTGCACAAGAGCCCCCTTTGCGGTTAGATAAGTGATGATTCTTAAAGTAATTTGTCTTTCTTTCTGCAGGATAGCTGGGGTTGTTTTGTGCTTGGTCATYTTCCAGACCTATAATTGGCTGTGTTAAGCTGTGTCTTGCCTTTGTAGGCTTCCTTTTACTTCTGCAGACACTTTCCTCATTCATTCTCCCAAATTTATTTAACAACGCACAAACCTTTTCATCTTCTTCCGTCAGTTTTCCAAACGAAAAGCTCTCTGTATCTYCCAGAAGATTGGGATCCAGTGTTTCTGCAGTAGATCCAGGCTCACTGGGTTCTTTTTCTCTGTCAGTTGCTCCATCACTCACATTCGGCTGCCCTCTGTGTCTCGATGCCCACCAGCCAATCTCCCGGGCATGCARCATGTTTCGGTGCTGCTTGTTGTAAACTGCTGGGGACATAAACCTACGTTCCATTTCCTTGTAACTGCTGCTCACTGAATCATCCAGGGAAAACGACCTGAGCAGGGGCAGCTTGACAGCCCTTATTACCTGGGGTGACCTGAATGTGTTATCTTTAATCAGAAACAGGCTGGGTTTGGTCGAGCTTGAGGATGATGGTGTTTGTGGTTCCTCAGACCTGGGGACGGACATGCCTCTTATACCATCAGATGCAGAATTTGTGCTGTTGGTCTCTTCCCTTTTCTCTCTCCCTAGWTTCTCCTTCACCAAGCTCCTCTGTTCACTCCCAGTAACACTTCCCTCCCTCTTCTCTGCTGCACCAGTACCAGGGCTGATACTTGCACTATACTGCAGTTCATCTTCCCCAACCTCTTTCCCTCTCTCCTTGTRTCTTTTCTTACTTTCTGAACCCATTTCACTGTCAGTCCTCTGGCTTTCTTGGAGGCCTGTCTGCTGCATCAGGGGCACTGGTAGAAATGGCTCCTCCWGGAGTGGCTGCTCCACTGTGGAGACGAAGGATTGCTCTGAAGAGCTAGTGCTTCTCTTGCCTCGTGCTTCATGGCCAGGCACCACAACGTTGGTTTGGGCATCACTGTAAGGTACATCTTCTTCTGGTGAGAGTGGGTTTAGGAGTGCGTTGAATGSAAAATTTTCATTCTGAGTAGCTGCTTGTCTTTCATTTTCCTCACCCTGCACACTGTGATTTTTCATGGGCTGCCCAGCTGTTGTATTTACATTGTCTCTACTGAACGGTCTCTGTGCTGGATACTGCAGATGTTTTCCTAAATCAGGTTCATTTGATTCATGTCTGAGCAAAGGGAAATTTTCATTATCCCTTGTGTTTTTAACCAGATCTTGGTGTTTGGAATCGTCTTGTTGCAAGCTGTCTCCACTTTGGTAAAATGGAAGGTCTTCTGTTGTCTGGGGTGAACTACAAGTCAGGCAGTGGTCTGTAAAGTGCCCAGTTAAATCAGCTTTACTGTCCTTCTCAGGAACACTGCTAGACAATACATAAGCTATATCACTCAATTCATCTTTCTCTGTGATATTTTTCTCATTTTTGCCATGCAAAGTTGCGAGTGAGGCATTCATTTTTGTACTCTCCTGCACATTTTCCCTTGCTCTATTTTTCTCCTCCAAGGCCCTAAACATGGGAGAAGGGGTATARATGCTTTTAACACGTTTGCGCACATCCTTTAAGTTGAATAACAGACTYGATGCTGTCAACCTGCAATTATCCCAGGACCTATAATCATCTGAGGTGCTCTCCTCGTGGTCTCTGGAAGCTGTGCTCTCTGTGGGAGGGGGTGTCAGCGGGATCAGCTCACTTTCAGCAGTGTCCACCTCCTGTTTTTGTGGTATGACCGGTGTCAGGAGCTCGGTGATGTTGAAAGAGGGACTGATGGATCCAGGGGAGTTTGYCTGTTTAGCCAGAGGGGTCACATCCAGACCAGGGTCAGCACCAGTCACCTTTTCAGACAATGCAGTCTTGTGGCTGTCTGTGAACTTCTCCTTTGCAGAGTTTCTCTTCCCTGCTGCCCTTTCTGCAGCCCTCTGCCTCCTCCAGGGTGGACAGGTATTGCCCACCTGGGGGCTGAGGGATTCCTCTTCTGTTAAGGGGGGCTGGGGTTTTGGTGGGGGAGGACTGAGTGTCTCCAACATGACTGAGGGTGAAACCATCCTATAGGACACAGATTGGGGTGACACAGAGCYTTGGGACAAGGCAGAGGGGGAAAGTCGAGCTGGCACTGGGGGTGGTGGCACAGGAGGGGCCTCAGGGGTAGGGGGTGTTGAGGGCCGGGCGGGGGGAGGGAGGGGAAGGGCCGGTGGGGCAGGGGGTGGCCGAGGGGGACCCTGGTGTACGTGGTTCCTAGGGGGAGGTGTGGGAGGGAAAGCAGCAGGAAGTTTGGTTTCTGAAGGGAGGGGACCCTGAGGTGCAACTGGGAGAGGGAAAGCAGCTTCTGGTGGAGTTGGTTTCATCTGAAAATCTTCCTCTTTCTTCTTAGCAGCAGTGGTCGCGACAGGTGATAATTTATGCTCACGTGTGTGRGATCCTTTAACAAATGGTGATTCTTCCAGGTATACAAGACCTTCCTTTTTCATTTTTACATCAACAAATTCCTCCTTTTCTGTCAGTTTTTTATGATGAACATTCCATGATTCAAAAGCACTATTCTCACTGTGAAGAAAGTTACCTTTTTTTGCCGGCTCATTAACWTTCAAGTTTCTGTTTTTTAAAGCCTTTTTAGAAGAATGGGAAAAATTTGACTTGGCTACTTTTGACATCTCAATCAGTACAGGATAATRACTATCAGAGTCCCCATAACTCAGGTCTACTTTATTAGGTCTTCTCTGTGGCTYATGTTTGCCACTGAGACAGTGGCTACCTTGACTAGCCTCAGAAAATTCAGAAAGTTCCTTGTGGATGCTTAAAATATCTGTATCATTCCAGCAAGCAATATCATTGCCATGATTTATTTTATGTTTTTGAAAGCTATTCTTAATGGGCTGCTTATTTGCTATCAGAGAACTTCCCGACCCTCGGTCTGCAGTCCTATCAAATGTCTTAATCAATGAGGACACTTTTGAAACATGCTTATTGTTCCTTGGACCAGGGACTGGCAAATTCGATTTCCTTTCCACGGCAAAAGTGTTGTTTTTAGCAATCCTTTTCTCCTCTGGAGCACACTTTGGTAACTGCTGGAATGTGGGAGCCCATGTTGTATGTTCATTGTTTCTTGCTGTTAGCTTGTCACAGACACTGCTTTTCTTGATGTCATGGTTTAACGTCCCTGAGTGAATTTTAGCAGACAACTGGAGGGCAAAGTCAGGCGAAATGGAAAGTTCTGGTTCATTGTAAGGGTCTTCAAGTTCTGCTACACACAAACTTTTGAAAGCCCGATCTGTGAGGCTGCTCACCTCTCTGTCTGCATCATCCAGGAGACTCCCAATGCTTGAGGAATCACTGTGTCCTTCTGTGTGTTTCTTATTTCCCTGCATTGTTCAAGAGAGTCATGGACGAATGATCCAAAGGATTTGTTTCAGGTGTTGARCAGGCAGGTGGCTTTGTGAGGCAGATCCAGCTGTTTGCAATTCACAAGCACAAAGCCATTCTTCCAGATGGTGCTGCTGCACATTGATTCMTCTTACAGAACAGCTGAAGGAAACTTTCTTCTCTGCAAAGCCAAGAATTATAAATTATCATTTTTCCATATTAACACTATTAGACAGAGAGCATTTTCCAGATCTATTRGTCGCTGACTAATTCTGTGATGCTAGCAATACAATAAACAACATGAAAAAMCACTGTTATTTTGGTCAATTCAAGTAGCTCATGGTAGATAGTTTTATTTCTGSAAAGGGCCATTTTTAAAAAGTGTTTTCACCTCATATTCTTTACTTGGGCCCTTAAACAAGAACCTAAGGGACAAATGCCAAATGCTTTCCTTTCCATATATCCAATCAAAAACACTTCCAAGTGCTGTGCACCCATTTAGAAAAGGTTAGCCATAGGAAGAAATAGTAACAAAAATTACTTTAAAAAAAGATGTCACTGGGTAAATGCACATGAAATCCAAAATGAAAGAATAGTTGATAAAACTTTATTGTCACAGCTTTGTCGTGACAATTGCCATAAGCACAACCTCAAGCTGGAGAAAACAGAATGGCACTACAGGCAAAAAGGATTTACTGTGCATGTCCCAAATGAATAGTGCTGGGGTGCAATTTAGCCACCCATAGCAGGGTACAGCTGGGTTGGGTCGGTCTGCTGGAGCTGGAGAAGCTGCTAACATCAGCTTAGCCAGCAGAAGGCAGGAGTGCCTCGGGGACTGTAGCAGACCCACTCAAGTAGCGCACAGAACATCTGGTTTCAGTTCAGAACTGCTGAGAGCTAAAGGTAACCCATCCAACACGATTATAAGATACCACACTTCCATTAAACCCCAGGGCCCACAGCACTGGGGTTTTGTCTATCTTCACATCAGTCTGAATACAGGATGGGGGAATCTGCATTGAACAAATGAAAGCAAAATARACCCTTCATCTGTACCTGAAATCTCTACACTGAAACTATTTACAGTTTCTCTGTAAACTCTTTARATTATTATTCTCACATTTGAGGACTTGAGCAGTTTTGACTGAGCTACAGGGAGACTCAGTATAAAAGCATACTCCAGAGCTGACTAAAAGTATTTAACCAAAGCCTGGTCTGTATCTCCATTTCCTCCTACAATGGCATTATGAACTTGTGATGAGTTGAAACACCACAGTTCACATCCAGAGCAGCTTCTATACAAGTGGAAGATATCTCCATCTCAAGCTTGGAGCCACTGATTCAGCTTGTAGAACTGAGATGTAGAAATCCAGATCTAGATTTCAGCCTCTCCAGGTGTCCAAATCCCCGATTCCACCTTGGTCCATCTCAGTGAGGCTCTTGGAAAGGACCTGTTTTTTTTCGGTGATGACTCAGTGCTGATCAAAGTATGAAAAGTAAGTGGAACTGAGCTTAATCAGCTGAATTACTCTGGCTCAGTTGTTTCTTCAAATGAAAAYACTCCTCACCTTCCTTTTCTATTTAAAAAAAAACAAAAAACTCAGCCAACTTATTTTTAGACTCCAAGTATCATAGTGAATTTAGAYCCTGTCCTTAAATCATGCAGTTCCAATGACTTATGCATAACTACAATAGATTTACAMTAGAAATAAAGTAAACCTAACAGAGCTTCTGTATCATGCTTTGTACAAAGATTTTTCAAACACAAGTTTCACTCCCCTCACACATATGTATTTTTGTGTATAATGCAACAAGAAAAAAGAAAAGACAAATGAAAGRCCATCCTGGTTTTGATTCTTAACTTTTTATATAAATGAGAAATACAGGTACATACCTGTCTTATAATTTTGCTTCTTGTTTTTAGAACTCACTCTCATACTTGTATTTGGCTTCTTYTCTGACCATCTTTAGTGAGGAGGTAGGAATAGTCCAGTGATGTAGATTCGACAGAAGTGGTGTCCCAGGATGTTTCTGACCTTCAGCATTTTTTCAATCCTAAGTGAACTCTGCAATTTGAAAACAAAGATATTTGTTTGCATTATCTGAGGATTGCTTTGTTTATTTTTTGGTTCCCATTTTACATCCATTTTAGTGCTGGTTTACAGGATTTTGTACAAAAAAAAGACAATCCAACCCAAATACCTGGTGGGTTTGATAGCCTATGGAGTGCAGAAGGTTCCTCGCAAACAACTGTCACAATCTCCAGCACACTCTGGTAGCCCCAGCAGGGACTGGCAGCTGAGTGAGCAATGATTTCCTGGCACTCTGCCCTTTGCAAAGGCTGGSTGATGACTCCAGGCTAAAAAGAAGAATTCTTCCCTGCTGTGCTACCCTTTCAGAGGGACTCACAGGAGAATATTTGCCTCTGCTCCACGTGTATATGAATCTCTACTGTCAACAAATACAGACATCAATCTGGTCAACTTGGAACTAACGCAGCTGAGGTTTCAAAGCCCATGGTTTTCACTGTCCCTGTGATAAAGGAGATGAAAGTGGTCAGCTGGCAGGGTATGGGGCAGTAAACAAAACRTTTTTTTGCTTCTGTGCATGAACCAGAGGCAGGAGATGCTAAAGGAAAGCTCAGCCATGGTGAATGTGAATTGCTGTCATTCTGCTGTGGAAATCCCCAAGGTTCAGGCCAGTTTGCCTAATCTTTGCAAGAGTATATCAGCTTCTTACAAGAACTGTTTGGTCCTGACCTAATGCAGGTAGCACAGTCCTCTCTAGGGAAAGTTTTGAGTCAGCTCGTGATATTCAAAACCTACTGGCAAAAGTGGCAACAAGGGCTCACCCACTGTAAATGCCTCCAGCACCTTGCCTGAGGAATAGCAGTTATCAGAGTGTTTAGGGGTAAGCCTGTAG